ACAGAAAACCAAACACCGCATGTTCTCACTCATAGGTGGGAACTGAACAATGAGAACACTTGGACACAGGGTGGGGAACATCACACACCAGGGCCTGTCATGGGGTGAAGAGATGGGGGAGGGATAGCATTAGGAGATATACCTAATGTAAATGACAAGTTAACGGGTACAGCACACCAACATGGCACATGTATACATATGTAACAAACCTGCCCGTTGTGCACATGTACCCTAGAACTTAAAGTATAATAAAAATAAAATTAAATGAAAAAATTTTAAAAAGTCACTTTAATGTGCAAAACTATTTTTGCAGTGTTTCCCTCCATCTTCTGCTGCCCAGTACCTGTGACGTCTTGACCACAAATACAGAAAGAGAAGTGTCAAAATAGGAAAGTCCAAATGAACAAATTAAACTGGAAAATTATATGATAAAATATTATTTATTTCCAAAAAATAAATCTGCTTTACATGATAAAGTGTTAAACAGTAACAAAAACTTGACAAGTCATATATATCGCAAGAGATTTTGTTCCATATGAATTAAAATTTAAACAATTATTAAATGCCCTTTTTTCTTTTTTTGGATACAGGGCCTTGCTCTGTTGCCCAGGCTGGAATGCAACGGTGTCAACACAACTCAGCACAGCCTTGATCTCCTGGACTCAAGGGATCCTTCCACCTCAGCCACCCAAATAGCTGGGACCACAGGCGTGCACCGCCATGCCTGGCTAATTTTTCAAATTTTTAGTAGAGATGGGTCTCACCATGTTGCCCAGGCTGGTCTTGAACTCCAGCACTCAAGCAATCCTCCACCTCAGCCTCCCAAAGTGCTGGGATTACAGGTGTGAGCCACTGAGCCCAGCCTTGAAGTCTTTTCATAATGGTTGTAGAATATGAAACTAAAATCTAAAAATTAGGCAAATCTCAGAGAATACATTTTTAAAAAACACTGTGACATCCTCCACATCCAAAACGCTTTATGTAAAACACTTGTCTTTGTGATTCACACAAAAAGCGGATGCCAATTCCTTAACTGAACTGATGTGACAGGAGAAACTCAATGCTAGTATAGCCGTGAGTAAGAACGCTGATCTAATTCATATCTTTATTAATTCCTTCTCATTTCAACTTTGTGAAAGAAGGAAAGAAGAAAGGGGAGAGAAGGGTAGGCATGCCTACCCTGTTCTGTAATATCTAACCCAGTGCTAGAAACAACAAAACACAAGTCATTTATAAGTGTTCAAAAACCTTAAAGTCCTAATAAGAAAGAAAACTAATTTCCTAAAATATATATGAGGAAACATATAAAGATACACTATACATTACAGTACAATCCATAAACAGGTTGAGAGAAACTGCTGGGTTTTAAACGTGGCTCAATTTATCAGTGGGGTGACCTAGGCAAGTTACTTTACCTATTTGTGCCTCAATTTCCTCATCTCTAAAACAGAATAAAGGTATCTTCATCACAAGGTTGTTGTGACCATTTAAGACTCTTAGAAAAATTTCTACTGCCTCTATAGTAATAACGATGTACATATGTACACAATGTTAGCTGTCATTATTACAGAGTAGAAATAAATGGCTTAATTGAAGAAATTTTCATTGAGAAATAGTCCCAAAATTAATGTGCCAAGTCATTTATATCAATGGCTGAAGTTTTATATTTAGATTCAAGCAGTTAAGGAAGTGCAATGTGATTTAGAATACAGTTCTGGGGGCCAGGCGTGGTGGCTCACACCTGTAATTCCAGCACTTTGGGAGGTCAAAGCGGGCGGATCACAAGGTCAAGAAATCGAGACCATCCTGGCCAACATGGTGAAACCCCATCTCTACTAAAAATACAAAAATTAGCTGGGCGTGGTGGCGCACGCCTGTAGTCCCAGCTACTCAGGAAGCTGAGGCAGGAGAATTGCCTGAACCCGGGAGGCAGAGGTTGAAGGGAGCTGAGATCGCACCACTGCACTCCAGCCTGGAGACAGAACGAGACTCCGTCTCAAAGAAAAAAAGAATACAGTTTTGGGGATGACATATAAATGCAGCCGCTTCATCCCTCTCCCTCCTGCACCAACCATTCCCCACTTCCATGGAAGTCCAGGCACCTTAACAATTAAGTTCCTATGAGTTAAATTCTTAATGCTTAAAGACATACAAAAAGCAAAGCATTATAAGTTCAGCAAAGCAACCACTAATACAAAACTACAGTAAATGCTTTTATTTTAAAGTAAAACTCTAAAATTCACAATAGCGAATGAAGGTGGGCTGTGGGTCAGAATGAAAGAAGTGGAAGAAGTAAAAATAAAGGAAAATGGATGACAGGAGGAATATGAGACTTCAGAGAGCTGTGAAAATTTAATTCCTGGATATTCCTTCTCCTTGCTACAATTGTTACAGTTTTCTCACGTATAACATGTAACAGTAAATTACTGCAATATTTGAAACACTTATATCTTTGTAAAATTCGCTTTCTGAAACTCTTGCCAGCTCCATTAATTTGTCACTTAAAAAGCAATTCGCAATTTAAAAAAGAAACATATACAAAATAAAGGCATTACATGGTACTGTGATTTGTGGGTGATATTCTTCTCCTGCCAGCAATAATGCCACACACTTGGAAGTTGCTTTTCCAGAGTCAATGAGAGACACCATCCACCTCCTACCACCACCCCTCTCCTTGGTTATTAAGAAAAAAAACTGAGCCAGACAGGATTCCTAATGATAGTTTTTTCTCCACGAGGCCAGCTGGCACTTGGGGAGCACCCTGCATTCTCAGCTCATCAGCACTTCCACTAAACTCCTGCAGATAAGAAGAAAATCTCCACTTAATCACCCATGGTTAAAACAAAAACCTGTTTCTAAAAACTAGCTATTTCCCTATTACCTACACCTACCCCCATACCTCCTCAAGTATTCTATACCAAGGGTGTGTCCCCAAGCAAGGAGTCTAGCTCCTCTCTTTTCTTACACCCCATGAAGGCCTCTGGAGAACCATACCTTCGGTTGGCAATTCTCTGAACTTGTCTATTCAAGCCAGCACCTCCGACGAGTGAAACCGAGTCACGTTTTTAAAACGAGCTTAAAGGGGGACAGGTGTTATGCCCACGCCGTCTGAAGTTAACTAATAAAGGTAATGATTTAAGACGTTTACAATGTACTAATTATGAATTAATTAAATCCCTCAGTGAGGGTGCGGCACTCAGGAAAAAACCCTCCAGCTTAATGCCCCCTATTTTTTAAAAAGGAGGGGAGGGAGCTCTAAAATCAAAAATGTTAATTTCCACGTGCTAAAAAACCTATCAGAATGATGATTTTGAAAGGAAGATCTATGTCGTATATTAGTTATATATAACTGCATATAAACAAAACTGGAGGCACATAGGCTGCTTTGGTGTAAATATAAATACATATGATATTCATATGTATGATTTTTTGTTTAACCACACCCTCCTTGGGTGGCTTCCCAGGCTCTCTCGGGCCAAACAGCGTCACGTCGTCCGGCGGCCCACTGGGTGGGGGTCCGGGCTGTCACCCAGACTCCAGCGGCAGGGAACGCTGCATCGCGGTCGCCCCCCGGCAGGCGGGCGCTCTGAATCCCCCAGGTTATCCCTCCCCGGGCCCGCCCAGCCCTGCCCTGCCCAGCAGCCTCGCAGGCCGCGGCCCGGCCTCTCCACGACCCCAGCGCCGCCCGCCCGACCCTAGCGGGCGGCGGCCTGGGGACCTAGCCCGGTAGGGGTAGGGCGGGGCGGCTGGGCAGACGCGGGTCCCAGACTCACCATGGCCGAAGAGCCGCGAGCGAGCCCACAGCTCGAAGTCACACGGCGCCGGCGACGCCCGTTGTCCTGGTGACGCCAGCCAGGCGCCCCGCCCCGTCCCCAAGGTGGGCTCGGAGGCGGCCATTGGTGGCCGGCGAGCACGTGACCCGCAGGGGCGGTGCCCTTTGGACCGCCCACCCCTCGCCCCCGGCCCTGGAACGGGGCCTCTTCGCCTCTCCCACTTTGTATCTGGTCCATCCTCTCAGCCTGATCACCTTGATGACCCTCACCTGACAGATTACTCAGCCGCAGACTGCCCAGCTGAAAGAGACCATGGATTTTTTTTTTAATTTAAAAAAACGTTATACAGGTAATGCATGATTATTGAAAACATTTTAAATTACCAATAACAAGAATTTAAAAGGATAAAACCACACTCATCCCAGCACCTGAAGTAGCCACTGCTCAGATTCCATTCTATCTGTTTCAAGCTTCCAAGCGAGATGTTATAACATACTGTATTCTTAAAAATGGTGGCAAACCATAGGTAACTGTTTTATAATCTTGGGGCCGGGCGCGGTGGCTCACGCCTGTAATCCCAGCACTTTGGGAAGCCGAGGTGAGCGGATCACGAGGTCAGAAGATCAAAACCATCCTGGCTAACACGGTGAAACTCTGTCTCTACTAAAAATACAAAAAATTAGCCAGGCATGGTGGGGGATGCCTGTGGTCTCAGCTACTCGGGAGACTGAGGCAGGAGAATGGTGTGAACCCGGGAGGCGGAGTTTGCAGTGAGCCGGAATTGCACCACTGCACTCTAGCCTGGGCAACAGAGCAAGACTCTATCTCAAAAAAAAAAAAAATTATCTTTGCATGCCACTTCATGGAATAGCATTCTATGCATGTTATCTAATTCATTAAATCAACTGGCAGTTTCTTGAATGTTTTTAATATGGTTGAAGGGAACTCTAGACATCCTCAAATCCAGCCCATTAACTCTATGAAGAAGGACCCAGTGCGATGGTTGACACCTGTAATCCCAGCACTTTGGGAGGCCGAAGCAGGAGGACTGCTTGAGGCCAGGAGTTTGAGACCTGACAGGGCAACATAGCAAGACCCTGACTCTACAAAAAATAAAAATAAAAAAAAGAAAAAGAAGGAAAAAAATAAAAGAATGTGCTTGGTGTGTTAGAAGCAGAAAAAAACCTGACAAAATAAAAACAACAACAACAAAAATAAAGTTACCAAAAAAAGAAAGAGAATTTTAAAATGTAAAAAAAAAAGAATCTGTGAAGAAGAATCATATTCAACAGCTGACCTGACATCCCCCCCACCCCCAGAGTGCCTAATAGACATCACAGTGTAATATGGCCCAAATAAACCCCTTGATCCAAGTTTCTTACTCCCCAGTCTTCTCAAAGCAAAAGTCCCTACTATCCCCTTGATTGTTAAGACAAAAACCTAGAAATTGTCCCTGATTCCTCTGTTTTCTCACACTTCACTTCCAGTCCATTATCACATATTCTTGACTCCACCTTAAATTCTCAATCTATCCACTCTACAACATCTCCACTTCACAGCCACTATCGTCTCACCCCGATTCATCTCCACATGTGCTACGATTTGAATGTTTGTGTCCCCTTCAAACTTTGTGTGAAAACGTATCAAATGTGACAGTTTTAGAAAGAGGGCCTCAAGGTGGGGAGTAGGCCGTGAGAGCTCTGTCCTCATGAATGGGATTAATGCCCTTATAAGAGAACTTGAGGGAATGAATTCAGCCCCTTTTTGCCTTTTCATCCCTTCTGCCATGTGAGGACACAGCAATCCCCTCCAGAGGATGCAGCAACAAGACACCGTCTCAGAAGCAGAGCAGCCCTCACCAGACACCAAACTGGCCAGCACCTTGATCTTACACTTCCCAGCCTCCAGAACTGTGAAACATGAATTTCTATTGTTTATACATTACACAGTCCTGTGGTGTTTTGTTATAGCAGCACAAGTGAACTGTGATCCCATGTCTTCCCTCCTGCATCCTACACAACAGCAGCATTTTCAGTGGCTTCTCATAGCACTTGGAAAAAAATACAGGCTGGGCAACGTGGCTCAATTACGCCTGTAATCCCAGCACTTTGGGAGGCCGAGGTGGGAGGATCACCTGAGGTCAGAAGTTCAGGACCAGCCTGGCCAACATAGTGAAACCCTGTCTCTACTAAAAACACAAAAATTAGCCAGGTGTGGTGGCAGGCACCTGTAGTCCCAGCTACTTGGGAGGCTGAGGCAGAAGAATGGCTTGAACTCAGGAGGCAGAGGTTATAGTGAGCAGAGATCGTGTCACTGCACTCCAGCCTGGGCAACAGAACAAGACTCTGTTTCCAAAAAAAAAAAAAAGAAAGAAAGAAAGACAAAAGAAAAAGAAAAAAACACAAATGCTTTCCATGATCTACCAAAATGGTACACGATGGAGGCCTTGCCCACTGCACCAACTCCATCTCCTGTCACTCTTCCCTCATTCACGCCATACTAGCCACACTTTTATGTCCCGAGGTTCCTCAAACACGTCAAATACTTTTGTACTTAAAAGCCTCAATAGGCCAGGCGCGGTGGCTCAAGCCTGTAATCCCAGCACTTTGGGAGGCCGAGACGGGCGAATCACGAGGTCAGGAGATCGAGACCATCCTGGCTAACCCGGTAAAACCCCGTCGCTACTAAAAAATACAAAAAACTAGCCGGGCGAGGTGGCAGGCACTTGTAGTCCCAGCCACTTGGGAGGCTGAGGCAGGAGAATGGTGGGAACCCGGGAGGCAGAGCTTGCAGTGAGCCGAGATCCGGCCACTGCACTCCAGCCTGGGCGACAGAGCGACACTCCGTCACAAAAAAAAAAAAAAAAAAAAAAGCCTCAATAATATCTGCTTCCTTTACACGGAATATTCTTCCTGCAGAACTTCATGTAGGCCCTTCCTTCATTTGATACAGGTCAGTTATCTCCTCAATCGTCATCTTCGCAAAAGCCTTTACTGACCTAAAATAGCTCATTCCAGTCACTCTCACTTTAGTCAGCCTCTCTCATTTAACTCTGTCTTGTTCTCAAAGTACTTAGTCCCCCTCAAAACTATCTTTTTTACCTTTTTGTTTATTAATTACTTCCTGTCTCCCCGCTCTGGAATGCAAGATGTCTATCTTGTTCCATTCTGTATTCCTAGTGTTTAAGAACAGTTCCTGGCTTATAGTAGATGTTCAATAAATACCGATGATTGAATGAACATCTATGCTGGGTCTGTATGGTCAGTTTGAAGATCCAAATAAGAATATGACTTGATAGAGTAGGGAGTATAATAGAAAATAAATACTGTAATTACTGGCAGCCTTTATTTTTATCTTTTTTTTTTTTTTTTGAGATGGAGTCTCGCTCTGCCACCCAGGCTGGAGTGCAGTGGCCGGATCTCAGCTCACTGCAAGCTCCGCCTCCCGAGTTTACGCCATTCTCCTGCCTCAGCCTCCCTAGTAGCTGGGACTACAGGCGCCCGCCACCGCGCCCGGCTAGTTTTTTGTAATTTTAGTAAAGACGGGGTTTCACTGTGTTAGCCAGGATGGTCTTGATCTCCTGACCTCGTGATCCGCGCGTCTCGGCCTCCCAAAGTGCTGGGATTACAGGCTTGAGCCACTGCGCCCGGCCTATTTTTATCTTTTTATTATGAGATATAAATACAAGTAATAGAATACAAATGTACATTTTGTTAAAGTGAACACTTCACACCACCCAGTTCAAGAAATAGAACATAGCCAGCAACCCAGATGATCCTCATGTCTACTCTCCTAATCTGAATTCCCCCCTCAACTTTTCCCCTAAGGTGATCACTGTCATGAAATTTATGGAAATCATTTTCTTGCATTTCTTTATGCATTTGTTTTATCTTTTTTTAATCTTTTATTTTTTGGAGAGGGATATCTGGCTATGTTGCCCAGGCTGGCCTCAAGTGATCCTTCACTTCAGCCTTCTCAGTAGCTGAGACTACAGGTGCATGCCACTGTGCCTAGTACTTTCTTGTAGTTCTTTATAAATGTTTATACTACATTTTTATAGCTATAAAGTATCTCACTGAATGCACATAAGAATATATTTATCCCTTCCACTGTTGATAGGCATTTGAATCATTTCCCATTTAGGACTCTTATAAATGATGACGCTATGAGCATTCTCCTAGTGTACATGGACACATTTCTCTAGATGACGGTTTCTCAATCTTAGTTAGCACTTTTAGCATTTAGGGCCAGATAAATCTTCGTTGCTGGAGGTTGGAGGGAGAGGGTAGTCCTGCGTATTGTAAGATGTTTCACAACATCCATGATCTCTACCCACTAGATGCTAATGGCACACCCCAGTTGTGAAAATCAAAAAATATCTCCAGGCATTTCCAAATGTCCACAGAGTGGCAAAATTGCCCCATTTGAGAACCACAGCTCTGGAATGTCAACAAAGAGTAGAATTGTTGGTTTACAGATTTACTACATAAATCTGAAGAAAATTATGTTTCCAAATTGTTTTCTAAAGTAGTTGTAATAGAAGTGACATCATGGAATTAGCAGAATAGGGAACTCCAAGAATTGGTCCTTCTACTGAAGCAACCATTAAGTGGGGAAAAATGGACAGAATCGACATTTCAGACTCTGGAGTCTAATAAAACATTTAAGTCAACCAAGGAGTGCTTAGTAAAGAAAGAGGCAACTGAATTTTGATAGGAAAGAATTATGGGGGATTTTGCTTGCCCACCTAGCGTCTCCTACTCCCCAGCCTGGTGGTAATCTTATGGATGGTGCCTTGTGTTCTGATGCAGCTTGCTGGTCCCAGCCTGAGCAATACGACCTTGTTCTCAAAACATTTTGGTTATGCATTTGATTGGTTTCCACATTCTCTAAGGCAGCAGTTCCCAACCTTTTTGGCACCAGGGACTGGTTTTGTGGACAATTTTTCCATGGACTGGGATGGGGGATGGTTTCAAGATGATCCAAGCACATTACATTTATTGTGTATGTTGTTTCTATTATCATTACATTGTAATATATAATACATTAATTATATGACTCACCATGATGTAGAATCAGTGGAAGCCCTGAGCT